AGTGGTAATGGTAGTAGAAGTAGGAGGAGGAGGAGTAGAAATTGGTAATAGTACTAGTACTAGTGAAAGGAATAGTTGGGTGGTAGTAGTAGTAGTAGTAGTAGTAGTAGTAGTAGTAGTAATAGTAGTAAGTAGTAGTAAGGTGTAGTAAGGTGTAGTAAGGTGTAGTAAGTAGTAGTAAGTAGTAGTAAGTAGTAGTAAGTAGTATTACGCAGTAGTAAGTAGTAGTAAGTAGTAGTAAGTAGTAGTAAGTAGTAGTAAGTAGTAGTAAGTAGTAATTAGTAAGTAGTGATAAGTAGTAGCAAGTAGTAGGAAGTCGTAGAAGTCAATAGTCGTAAGTAATACGTAGTTGTAAAAAGTAGGAAATAGTGGCAAGTAGTGGTTGTAGTAGTAGATTCAGTAGATGTGGAGGAGGAGGTATTAGGTTTGGTTTCATGCCTCTTCGCACCGGCTCTTGGCATTGCCAGCTTCCATGCTGCCTGTTGTTCCAGAAAAAAACGCCCTCTTAGATTCAGCGCTCTTCAGCACAGGACATCCGTTGATTGCTGTGCGGCGGATTTGTGCACAGTTTCAGAGAATTCGCAAGCTTTTGATGCTGCGATGGTAATTTCCGTAAAAGGATGGCTATGACACCTGAGTATGACTACTTGTTCAAGTTGCTCTTGATTGGCCAGAGCCTCGGGTCTTGTCAAAGACTTTGTGTTCGCCCAAAGATTGCACAAGCACAGCGCGCAGCCTGATAGCAGGTGATTCGGGTGTTGGCAAATCTTGCCTGCTACTGCGTTTTGCAGACGACACCTACACAGAGAGTTACATTAGTCATCCGGCCGCGGTTTTCCCCCGTAGTTTTGATTTATGTTTCCTTTCGGAGCATGTGCGTTGATGAAGCACAAACAGTTTGCTCGTTTTTCCGAAATCTTGGTTTGCCAGGTACGATCGGCGTGGACTTCAAGATTCGCACCCTCGATTTGGAGGGCAAGACAGTAAAGTTGCAGATCTGGGATACGGCCGGGCAGGCCGGGCAGTGATTCCATAGATGTGGATCGACCGGACCCTACGGGACGGCCTGCCAGGAGCGCTTTCGGACGATCACGAGCAGCTACTACAGGGGTGCTCATGGCATCATCGTGGTTTATGATGTCACCGACAAGGTCGGATGCACAGAGTGTGCAGCAGGTGAACTACATTGTGCTTCATGGTTTGCACCGATGTGAGTCGCCGGTGAGTGAGGAGTCTTTCAACAATGTCAAGCATTGGATGCAGGCTGCCTGAGATGAAGACTGAAAGGGCTCGCAAGTCGGCTCGTGTTGGGATTCTTGACCAGGAAATTGACAAATACGCGGCCGATGGTGTGAACAAGCTGTTGGTTGGCAACAAGTCCGGCCTGCGTCGGATTTTTGGCATAGTTGTTTGGAGCTGCTTGCTCGCCAGGTGTGATCTTTCGTCGAAGAAGGTGGTCTCTTATGATGAAGCGAAAGAGCTTGCAGATTCCCTCGGGGCCGCCTGGCCGCTCAGTAAGAGAGCGACCGGGAGTTACTGTGACTCCTGGCACTTCTGGTGCTCATCTAGTGTCTGCGTGTTCTCCGCTTTTTGCCCTCATTGTCTCCTCGTTCTGTTCTGTGTTGGTGCACCGCATTGCATGATAGCATGCCCTGGTCATGCCAATGAAGGTTCAGTTTATGGAGACCAGTGCAAAAAACGCGCACAATGTGGAGCAGGCGACTTGCAGGAGACGTTGCAACAGTCATTTCTTGTATTAGTATGATTTCGTGGAGGCTTTTCAAAGCATGGCCGGCGAGATCAAGTGGCTTGGTGTGCAGACTGTGCACATGCCCTTGAATCGAACAGACGCGATAAAGCGGTTAGCACCCTGCGGAACTAATACTATACTCATAAACCTGCAAGCCCCAAATCCTGAAGCCTTCCTTGCATGGATTTCGAATAATCTCAGGGCGCCCAACTCGAAAGGTTTGGGAAAACTTCATTTCCGAATCTGGAGCAAACTCAGGGCCCGAAAACACTAGGCCCGTAGAAGTCCAGCTTATCCGAGGAGTCGTGTTGCATCCCAGCCTCAACCCGCACGCGGAAGTGGGGGCACAACTTTGGGCCCTGGTACGAGGGTCCGCGGCTGAGTGAGGTCGCTTTGTTTCTTGGTAGATGGCAGTGTGCGGAGCAACCGCACATGAGTGCACGAAGATTCAAGTCATTCCATCATTCGTCCACGAAGACGAACGTTCAGGCGGCAGGTTTCTGGCTTTCGATTTCCGATATCAGGAGTAGGTTTGGGCGAGTGCAGCACATGCTCGCAAGATTCTTTTGGAAGGGGCCCGCTTAGGGCTTCGCACCCTGTTCTCGGCCGTTTTTGCCATGCTGCCAACTGCCCCGCGATCACAGATGTCGTGCTTGGAGAGCCATGCACTAGTCACTAGTGATATTGTCGAACAGGTCAGACATGCTGATGATCGATAGTATAAGGTCAACAGCGGTGGATGTTGCAAGTGATTGCACCTCGCCTCAGCCGGGAGACTACAGGCACGCAGCTGCGCGTTTTGTTCTGCTGCATGTCCTGTCCTTCTGTTGTCCTCGGACCAGGTCCTGGGCGACGCCAGAGACATATCGACCAATGTGTGAGTCGGCATTGTCACTTCTGCTTGAGCGTGAGGAGCCTGCATGATTGGAGTGCCGCCTCCTGTAGCATGTTTGACAGTGTTCGAGCACATCCCATCAGCCCGACATCAGTCTGCCTAGGGAGGTGCTGCTCTTGGGCAGGAACTGAACTTGCTGCTTGCAGCTATTGTGCGAGTTTGTAGCTGCCCGTGCATTCTTAATGCCAGAAAAACTTCATGCACGAATGGGCCGTGCGACGAATTGCGCGCATGCCCTCACAGATGCTGAAGGCTCTGTTTTGCTACCCTCCGCTTCAGACAAGAGAGGGCATCTGTGCAGGCCTACAACCTCATGTCCTCAAAGGGGAGACACAAAAGACTGTGCCTGCATCTTCAAGCTAGTTTGTGCCAGATCCTGCCTGCTCTTGAAAGCTGAAAACTGCAGGTATTTTAGAACACATGACACCCCATGAACAGGGCCGTGAACATAGGCAAGATTTTTGCCGGCTCGGTACGCACCGTACATACCGCCTGAATGGCCACATCACACACAGACAGTCACGTGTGCTGTGCATCTGAACCCAAGCTGGGGCGAGTGCCTCATCAAGCATCGTGATGCCAATGCGGCGTAGCTCCCGGCGCTGATGCTGTCCGTGCAGGGAGAGTCCCTGGTCGGGCGGCTCGTGAATGTGACAGGAAAGTACTGTCCCCTGCTCGTGGAGTGCTGTTGGAGAGATCGCACACCTAGTGAAAGGAGACCATGAAGTTGTGGAGGGAGCAGTGGCCGCGGAGGTTCCGGTCTTGGTGCCTTAGACCGTAGCGAAGCAGCAGTGCAGTCTCCTGCCTGCTGAGGCTTCCATAAAGGGGCAAGTTGTGCGCTGGGCTCCTGAGGACAGACCAGACCCGCGGTTGAAGTCCTTGTTGACGAGTTCAACTTGACAGCGGGGTTTGTTTGCCCTGAGGAGCAGTACTGCATGGTGAAGCCCTTACCAAACCAAGTTTGTAGCTCTTGTTGCCTGCTACGCGGTACATTGCAGACCTCTTGACTATGTTTGCGCCGTTTCATTTCAGGTTCGCAGCTTTGGTGGCGCCTTTGTCCGGGCTCGGCCAGCATCACTGGCAGAGATGGAGGTCAGCCAAGGGAGTTGCACGTTGCCGAAGAATCGTCGCACGTTGTGGGTTTCTTGTGCTTATGCATCGCAGGAGGAGTTTGATGTGCTCTGGCCGGAGGGTGACAATCTGCGATTGCTGGGCAAGGACGCGTGACCTGTGAGCGGTGTTGCCGGGATTCCGAGCTCAGCTCGCGCTAACAAAGGAGGTCGCGGAATGCCTTGCAAAAAAGATGCACTGCCTGGTGCAGTGTTTCGCGTCCTACGAGGCAGCGAAGACCGTTCAACGACACTTTTCGGGAAAACAGATGCTGGGAGTGGGCAGATCTCAGGTTGGCCTTCGAGCCACGGAGATGGCGAGAAAACGACTTGGCTGGAGGCGCTTTCCCAAGGACTTCCTTTTCCTCCGAAACGGAACTGAGCGCTGACTCCCTCCCCTTTCGCTTTGTCCTCGTCGAAGGAGTTGGAGCCTTCTTACCTGGGACAGAATGCGCAGGGTAAGATCTTGTGGCTCCCGGCCGATGATCCCCGCCGAGAGGCGAGTCTCGCGGGGTGCCGTTCTTTGTGCTTCGCAGAAAGCCCGGCCGGCAAAGGTGCAGTCGCCGCTGGAATCCTGTGACAGGTTGCCGCTTTCCCAGCAGGACCAGAGCGTCTTGGCAGGGGCATGCAGAGGCCTTGGCTTCCAAGCGCCAAGGCTTTCAAAGCTCGCCTCCGGCCTCTACGTGGTTTCTGGGCAGTGCAATCTTTGAGCATGACGGCCAGACCCGGTAGAAGAGGTATAGATCTTCGACATGAGGGTTGTTCCGAAACTGCTTTCAAAGGAGCATCCCCTGTAAGGCGCTAAGTGTTTCGAGCTGTGCATGAGCAATTGTCTGTACATGATCAATTGTCATGCGGTCAGTTTGTGGATGACGCCCATACTGCCTGAAGCCCTAAAGCCCAAAACTAGAGGAATGCCAAGACACACTGGGCTTCCTGCCGGACGGACGCTCCGACGCGCTGCTGTGGCTGCCGCCAAAGAGCCACAAAGAGGAAGAGGCTGAGAAGTTCAGGGTTTAGGAAGTGCAACAAACCAGCATGAGGCTTCTTTTCGAAGGAACCGAGTCCTGCGAGGCTAACTTGCGGCAACAAGAGAGGCTCACCGAGGAGCACGTCAGGGACGGCCAGATCGAGGTCCAATCCTTCTTGGACCCCTTTGTCGTAGCCCATCAGCACTCGCGTCAGGGCCACATCGACTTCGTTCAGTCGCGCAAGGTGTGTGCTCTCTACCAGGCTCTCAACTCACGTCGGTGTCCTGTTTGCTTGTGACATTCCGGGTGTGCAGGTAGCTGGCAGTGCCAACGTTGTGCTGCACAGCGCCGAAGGTGTCCCTGCTTCGAACTCAGAGGTCTGACAATTGCGTTGTGCTCATTATTTATTTTCCCGCCCAGATTCATGTAGCTCTTCGAAGTGGACAAGTTTTGGTATTCCGGCACGACCTTTTGACCTTCTCCCATGAAGGCAGTCATTGGCTCATGCCGCCGGCCGTGGTTCACATGATCCTTCCATTTCCTTGACTGTTGGAGGCAGCATAGATTCCTTGGCAATGCTGACGTGGATTTTCTCGACAGGCTTCTAGGCACATGGTACAGCGTTGCACTTTCGTCTCAACCTTTGCCTTGCTGAGGTTATGCTGCGGAGGTCCAGCAGCTGGCCGGGATCATAGGGAAGGAGGCTTGCGAGTTCTCGTGCGTAAGCGCCGTGTTGGAAGCATGCTGTGCAAGGCTGATGTGGCCTCAGGCGTGATCAGTGGTCCACTGTCGCCGGTGAACCCTGTGACTGGCAAGACAGTGAGCGTAATGTCTGCGGACTGCATGTTGGCAGGACCCGGTGCTCAGCTAACGTTCAATGGCACGCTTGATGTGTGAGTGAGCTTACATCAGAGTTTTCGACATGCTTGTGTGTCAGGAAACGGCGTCTCTCCGGAAGAGTGCCGAAGATGCACCCAAGTCCTTTTCTGCACAGACGCTTTTGGGGCCAGCTTGCTTCATCCCTAGGCTAGGTGGCAGGATAACATGTTGGCCAGACCATATCTCAAAGACGTGCATCTGTAGCTTACAACAGGTATTATTTCCTGGACATGTTATGTGTATTTGTGTGTATATGCATATGTGAAGTCGCATTTACCAATACATATATACATACATATATATATATATAATTATATATATATATATTTACATGTGTATGTGTCTGTTTGCTCTGTCTGCCTGTCTGTATGCATGTATGCATGCATGCATGCATGTATGTATGTATGTATGTCTGTATGTATGAGCATCTCGGCTCCACTGTGAAGGAGCATGCTGACCCCGTGGGTCGTGCGTGGGGTGGCTTCCTAGTGCCTGGTGGCTCTTCGGTGAGGTGTGTTGTCAGGAGGCAGCTGGAAGGTGCTTTGACGCTTCGCGAGGGGTGGCTGGCTTGGCTTGTGCTTCAGCTTTCCTTTATGGTAGTATCAGAGCCATGGACCTCGTTGCCCCACATGGAGCCAACAAGATCCCCAAGTATGCCTCGAGACTTCTTCTGTCTGATTATCTTCATGTATTTGTGGAAAATCATACTTTTGGGCACCTCACAAGGCAATGGGAAGATCTTTCCGCAGGGGAGCCCCGTCAGCGGCAAGATGCCTTGCTACGGCGGTGGCAGCCTATGGGTGCCTTTGGCCTATGGTTCGCGGGCTGGCTTCTGCTTACGGATGCTAGAAGGCTCGACTTGCTTGGTGAAACGATTGAATATGACCGGGAATTTGGGCTGGCAATGTTTCGTGCAATAGGTCAGCACCTCTGTCCGGAACTGGAGGTCCTGGATTGCACGACAACACTGGGACGTGAAACTAGCATGCATGGTAACCCTGACCCTACGTCACGACAACCAGCTCACCATCAACGCCCGGGATTATGCTTTCATGATCTTCATCCGCTTCGATATACGAGGCGGGCAAGGCGTGGAGCGAGGTGAAAAAGACGTCGCCCGAGAAGCTGGAGTCCCCAATGAGGGTAATCTTGATTCAGAAGTTCCTGAGCACCGTTGTATATATAGCGCTACGAGCAGGTCCTGGACTCCCCCAAGAAGATGACCGTGACCAAGCAGTTGGGATGGTTTTCGGAGGACGGCAGCATGGTCAACGGCATGCGATGGGACGCGGAGAAGAATCGACATGTGATCAACCCGAATGTCCCACCTCAAGCGGTCGATCAGGTGAAGCAGTGGCTCCTGGACTTGATCATCCTGAGCCGAAGCCCGAGAGCCACCAATCGGTTCCATGCCACGCAGGACCTAGCGAGCTCCTACGAGAACACGACGACAACTTTCATGTTAGACGTGGGCCTACGCACTCAGGAGGCAAATAAGATGTGGAAGCATCTCAACATCCTGAGCCACTCCGCGGTGTGGATCGTTGGAGGGGCTTTGACTCGGCATGCGAGGCTAAAGAGGGGACCGCTTGCGCAGAAGATCGCCCAGGCCCAGCAACAACGGCAAGGAGCGAGGAGCGAAGAGCAAAGGCAACGGCAAATCCTCCGGCTTCAATTCATGAATGTCGGTAATCTGTGCTATACCAATGCGCTGCTCCATTGCCTGATGACGATCGAGTTTGAGCGAGCAGGGCACACATCCTTGTTCCCAGAGGGCTTAGCGTGCATTCTACAGGGGTTTATGAATGCTGGGGGCCCCGTCAAAGTGTGGGACGACTTGGCCTGGCAGCAGCTCATGAATGATGGGGTCGGCCCCCACCAACAACACGACATAGCGCAGTTTTCTTGAGTTTGTTGTCAGTCGGTGTCCTCAACTCGAACATGCTGGAGTAGTGGCTGTGCAGGATGCGGGCTGCTCCCTTCCACTCCATCTCTGTCCGGCTTCTGACGTGGTTCAGGATAAGGTTGAGGCGGTTACCGTTCAGCAGCCAGTGGATGAGTGGTCGGGACAGGCTGCGCGACATGCCATGGTAAGTGTGCCAATGGCATTGATTTTGCAGGCGGAGCGCTTCCGCCTAGATACAGGGGACGTGCCATCCATAAGTGGAGGTATAAGGTCATTCATTCCTCTGAGGGAACTCCGGATGCCTGTGTTTACTGATGGCATACATGTCTCCTGGACTACTTTTCATTTGAGTGCCATCGAAACTCACAAGGGTAGCTCGCCGTATTCCGGCCATTATCAGTCAATACTGATTGTGCGTGATCATTTCTATGTGACTGATGATAATCGTGCCGCCACCCTTTGCTCTGAAGACGATGTTTCTAGCTATGATCGGGACTCTTACGTGTTCTTTTATGTCAGAACTTGAGGTGGCGGAGTTGAGCTCTGTTTCTCTTTCTTTGCTCGGGGATGTGCAATGCGCAGCTTAAAGCCGAGGCCATGAAGCCTCGTCCTCGCATACACTCGCCAAGACTTTGGACTTTGCAGTGCGGAAGTGAAGTGAAGTATGTATATGCGTTGATGTGTATACGTGTAGATGTGTATACGAGTATATGTATGTACGGAGCCATGTACATATGTACGTGTTTATGTTTTTGTTATGTATCGGTATAACGGAACAAAGCCATAAGGCTATACGTATATCGGTATTTCGAGACTTCGTACGTATACATAGACAAAAGTAAGTATGTGTGTATATATATATATAGATATCTGCATACATGCATACAGGTATATATATATATATGTATATATGTATATATGTATCTGTATATACATACCTATACATACACACACACACATACGCACACATTGTTCTGTATGCACGCATGTACGTACCCAAGTGTCGGCCTGTGCTTGCATGTTTTCAAGACAACTGAGTGGACAAAGATACTAATTCCCCCTCCCCCCGCACGCGCGCTTGTTTGCGTGTAAATTTGATAAATGGTTACGCGAGCGGATAGATTTGATGGTAGATGCACATGCACACCCAGGCGTGCACACGCCGGCACATGCTAACCTGCATCGTGTTACCACACGTGCGATGCATCGCAAGTCCAATGTAGATTCAACAGCACATGACCAGCACCATGTCGCAAACATCAACACAGGTAAACCGGTACGAAGCAACAGACAAGTAGATGAAAACTTAAGAAGATGAAAAGCACCCTTAGGATCAACCGCTTCACGGAAAGTGCATACAGACAGTTGGAACACACAAGCATACCCATGTTGAGTTCAGGTCTTGTGTTTTTGCACGTAGATTTTTTCGGCATACAAGTGTGTATACAGACACCAAGCCAGGGAGCAACCACGCAGAGAAAGATGCAGCTGTAGAACAAGTGAAGACGATCTTCTGCTGCACCGTTGCAACTCTTCTGGGCTCGGGCTAAGCCGAGGTACTGGCAAATGCTGGCCATGGGGACTGACGGCTGCCGCCATCTTTCACCCTTGCGGTGGGACCCAGAAGTGTACTTTGAGCCGGACAAGGACAGCGGGGGTTATTCAAGGCAGCGGCCGCGTCTGTTCTGAACAGTTCAGGACATTGCCTTTGGACTCATGGCTGCAACAGACAAGCCTCGTTTTTGAACAGTTTTGCGTCTGTCCTAGAGAGTTTGAACCAGAGAGCTCCGACGAGGCAAGTACTACTCCAACCATGGTGGGTTCGTTGTAGAAGACTACTTCCTGGGCTTTGATGCTGCCTTCTTCGGCTTCACGGATGAGCAGGACTTCTGTCATCATGTGTGAGCTCGGTAATCTGGTGACTTTTTGTGCGGCAGCGAGGCAGCTATGATGGATCCAATCCAACGCAACACGCTCGAAGTGGGCTGCTCTTGTGCAAGCAGCTGACGGTAGTCGTGGCGATGGCGGTGATGAGAGTGGTGAGTATGACAGTAGCGGCAATGAGGCTGATAATGGCGATGATGGTGTTGACGGAGCTGGTGCATGTCGATAGCTCTCATTTTGGTTGTTGTTATGTTTGAAGTCTGATGGCAGCTCTTTTTCGGATCATTTTGGTGTACGCATTTTTCTCTTTGTCCCTCCCCTTTCGCTTTTCAGCTTCTCGGCCTGCTCCGCTTTTCTGCGATTTATCGCGTTTCCGATCCTCTGGTCTTGTCCTGCTCCGCTTTTTCTGCTTCGTAAGCAATAATAACTCAGTCCGTAGTAGTACAGTAGTAGTGCGGTAGTAGTACAGTAGCAGTACACTTGTGGTACGGCAGTTGCACGGTAGTAGGACAGTAGGTAGTACAGGAGTACAATCGTAGTCCAGTAGTAGGACAGTAGTAGTACGTTGGTAGTACAGTAGTAGTACCGTAGTAGTTCCCGAAGCACCACAGTAGCAGTGCAATCGTAGTACCGAAACAGGAGAGTAGCAGTACAGTAGTTGTACAGTGGTAGTGGAGTAGTAATACATCAGTCGTACAGTGGAGGTACAGCAGTATTAGTAGTAGTAGTAGTAGTAGTAGTAGTAGTAGTAGTTGTCGTAGTAATACAGTAGCTCAGTAGGAGTACATACAGTAATATTACAGCAGCAGTACAGTCCCTGCACTGAGCTGTGCATCGGACCGCAGTCTTGTTAGAGGGCCTCTGAAGTGCCGTTCCAGGAAGTACAGTAGTACGGTAGGAGGCTTTAGGGGGTAACTAGAGCTGTGGGGGGGTTTATGGGGCACCAACACCTCGAAACCACGCCTCAATCACTTCAAGATAAATACAAGGATTCAAAACCATTCATGTTGCTTCATCCTATGCTCGCCTTCACAATCGACCAAGCCTGAGACACGGTAAAGTGGTACAGTAGTAGTACACTAGTAGTACAGTTGTAGTGTCTAGGCGTAGCAGAGCTATGTAGGGGGCTTTAGCGGGCCGCAACGCCTCGAAATCGAACCCCGTTCATTCCACGAAAATAATCGAGACTAAAAACCTTTCCTTGATCTACCAGCCTGAGGCCTGCAAAATGCATCTTTCTCCGACTTTCTGCCACTCTTTACTCAGCTAAGGTTGACCAGCGGCAATAAGGACAATGCAAGAGCAACATGCGAGCGAACCGATTGGTACATTCTAGAACATCGCCCAAAGACTGAACAGGGCTGCATCGTTGAAGAAGGTTACCTAGTAAGAGACAGTGCAACATCATCTAGTTTTCGGAGTGTCTTGCGGGGTTTGAGGTCTGCAGGTAAGGATATGTTTTAGCCATTGAAGCAGAAAGAACAACAGGAGTGAACAAAAGGAAGAGAAGAACAGGACGCAGATAAGCGCTGATACGGGTACATTTGTTGCTACCAGTGCTGAAGTTAAGTTTGGATGATTTTGTATTGTTCTCATTGCAATTATTTTCATTGTGAGCCTTCCTGTTTTTTGGTTTTTCATATTTTTTGATTGCTTATTCTTGGTCTTTTCATTGTTTAGAAATTTATCTTTGTGTTCGTGTTCATGTTTTGATTTTCGTTGTTTTTATTGTTCTTACTCTTGCTTGTAGTGTCGTGGTTGTTTTTCAATCCTATTCGTATTCGCATTCCTCTGTTTTTACTTGTATTACAGTTTTAAGTTTTAAGGTATGAGATCCACCAACCGCAAGACATCAGCTCAGCCATCATGGTCTAATGATGGGACCAAGGGGCGACTTTAAGACATGGGAACAACTGTCATTGTTCGATGAGGGGTGATGTGGGGTCAGCCAGTGTTTGTGATATCTGTCGTGTTTATGATATCTGTAGTCTTTATAGTGACTGAAGTATCTCGTTTCTGTGGATGTATATGCTGTTTTCTTTTTCCGAGTATATCAACAGGAAATCAATACATTAAACTAGTTAGCTTGTTAGTTTGCAAACAATTAAATCATCTTGAAAACAGCTTTTCCCGCCGTAACTTAACTTATTTGATTTATGTACTTACCGGCCTTCAAACCTCGGCCCCCAATACAATGTATTTAGTGTATTTACATTGTTGAATTTATTTATTTGATTTATCTAATTCGTAGGTAAATACATTAGATAGAATACATTAAATCGGGAAAAGTTGTTTTCAGGATTTAAACTAATATGTCTGTTCTATTGAATTACGAATTTCATTTTTTGAATATTGCAAGATTTAATTCGGAGGCGGGGGCGGAGATTTGAAGGCTGGCGATAAACATAATTATACATTTAATCTGGAAAAGCCGTTTTCAGGATTTTACTTGTTTCATTTATTTAAGTCGAGGCGTCAAGCTCCACCCTAATTGACATTAGTTAATGTGTTTAGTTTGAGGGGGCAGGGATTTTTAAGGCTGGCAATGACATAAATTAAAGAAATTATATCGGGAAAGCCGTTTTCAGGATGTAGTTTACTTTTTAATTCGAGCCCTGAAATTCCCGCCCCCGTAATTAAACTTGTTTGTTGACGGCCGCCTGATCTTGGTCGATTGGAAACATAGCGAATACCTGGCTGACAAGTACAACAACTTCAGCAGGCGACTGCCAAGGCGATCAATACAGACTGCAATTCAATATCTACAAATGGATCTTGATAACGTACTACGAAGCAGACCTGTGCACGCCGCACGGGCTGTAGATCAGTTCGACATCGTCTCCAGCTTGACCCCAACATATGGCACCAGGAGGGGGAACTCCGGAAGCAGGTTTGCCATCGTTTGCGAAAGCAAAACACCAAGAAAGTGGACGACCACTGGCTTTTTCTGGTTTTAGTTTTGTTGTGACTGGTCTGGCTGCTTTGCGGTTGGCATTCCGCTTTTGTATTTCTTGTAGATGTAGCAAAAGAATTTTGTGGCAAAATTCTCAGATCTCGATTGTTTTGCTCACGAAATATGCCTCAGCCAGAGCCCCATGCCGGCCTATCGCACACGGGCTGCTCGTTTACGGGTGAAATCAGCATGCGCGAGAGATGCCCCTCAACGGGGGATCGGGAGGACGACAATGTGCTGCAGCACGCCAGGTACGTTCCAAAAGGCCGGACTGTTTGTCGCACTGCTGGTTGTTTGGGAATGCAGTAGGCAGATTGTGTGTGTTAGTATATGGCTGTAGGGCTTGTAAAGGTGCGGAAGGAAGGGGTGGGGGCATGCTATATTGTGCATCCAGGACAGCCGAGATGCGGAGTGGGATGGCGTCGGACCTGTGTGGCTGCTGTGGGCTGTAAGGTTTTTTTTGGAATGTGAACTAGTTGAGTGGGTGGCTTGCAGCAGGATTGCAAGTGCAGTTTGCGGGCACACGGCAGATTAAGCAAACTAACCAACAGTGGGTTCGAAATTTAGTGGAGATAGGCGAAAACTGTGGCGCAGGGCCCTACTCCCTCGGTACAGACCCCCCGCAACCCCTCCGCGACCTCCCGCGACCCTCCGCGACGTTGCGAGATCTCCTTTCACGCCACGAGGCCCCGCCCACCTGCCCCCCAAAAATCAACCGCCAGAAAAAGTCATTGATCGCATATGTTTTGGTTGTTTCAGTTTTGAAAGCGATGGCAAACCTTGTGGATCTATGAAATCCACATTCCTGGAACCGGCGTCTCCTGAAGGGCCAGGAAGCCCCAGAGTCATCCAAGAAATTGCGCACGAACCTCGTCAAAAAACCATGTCCGGCGATGGCAACATGGGCCGCAAACCTCATGGTTATATACAGCACCAAGGTGTTTTCAATCGTGGGCTGGAAGCACTTGGAAGTCAATAGATAGATGACTGTTGCTGGATTGATCGTGGGAAATTTTTACTCGCTTCTGCGCCGAGCATTTCTCTGGAAGGCCAAGGCCCGCTGCCTGCGCAAAAGGTTCCTCGAGACAGGCCGGCTGTATCAAGTGTCAAGGTGTTGAAGAAGCAGCGAACGACGTCCCTGTCAGTGCCCAGAAGACTGTCATTAGGGAGACCGCACGCCAAACGTGTCACAAAGTGACGTGATGTCGCGATCGTGCTCTTCGTGGAAAAGAGGAGCTCTGCTTGAGTAGAGACATGCTGCTTGACTTTATTGGCCTGTTCAAGATCGTCTGGAGCCAACATCACCGGGCTGCGTCCAGCAGTTCAGTCGAGGCTTCAGCATGGGCTGATTTCGAACTGCGCACACCCAGACTACATGATTCTAGTCGTTTGCGGGTAAACGTGTAACGCAGGAAAGCCACGCCCATATGCTTCCTGTCTGCCGAACACACTAGTGCAAAAGGTGACCGGAGGCAGGCGCTGGAACAGGTCTGTTGGTCCAGGAATTACATGGGAGAAAAGACAACTGCCGGTAATTACATGTTTTGTCGACCTTGATCACCGACACGGGTCATGACTGCATAAGGCCCAGACTGGCTCTCGTATCTGTT